TTATGTTGCTTTTCAATGATTTTAAGGAGTTTATGACCTAATTGATAACCATTAATCAGAGGTGGGCATGTACTTCAGTAAAATATTGATGTACTCCCCTCAGTATTTTCAAATAATAATACTCCAGTATATTACTGAGTAAAGGAATTTACTTTTTACCCATTTTAAAATTTAGCCTTTCATATTTAGTTAATAATTCCTTTTATCTGCTTAAATTCATAATGTTTTGTTGGTGACAAAATCTTTACTGCTTTGAGACTGGTCACGCCTCTGACTTTGGAGTCGCAGCATTTTCTTTTAGTCCAAAAGAATCCCAAAAAGATCTTTAGTCATCTTTCATCTTCAGTTCCTATGCTGATGGTTCCACTGCAGTTACATAGGTTTCTAAGTGCCTAAGTAGTTTTTTGACCCATTATACATCTACTCAAATAGTTTTTTGGAAAGGTTCTTTTATTTGAGTTATTATTTTACCCAAGCAGTAATACTTTTACTTGAGCATGGGTTTAGGCAACTCCACCTCTGCCATTAATGAACTATTCATAAAAGCTTTATATGGGAAGTCTTATTGTAAAGTGGTCCCACTGACAAAAATAATAATTTAAACAAACAACTACTAGGTGGTTCTTTAAGGAAAAGTGGTTCTACTATGTCATTGCCATATCTTGCTCTATGACAGTTTTACTTGTTAGAGTGCAGGTAAATCCTTCCACTGGTAAAGAACGTTTACATTGTAGTTTACAATGTAGAGGCTCTTTAAGCTTTTAAAGTGTTCACAACCACACATCTCATTTAAAAAGTATTGCTTTAAACAATCACCCATTGACAGGTTCTTTAGAGAACCAGATATGGTTCTTCCATGGCAACTCTCCGAAGAACTCCTTTTGGCACCTTTAGTTCCACTATGATTTACACAGGCCACAAAATGGCGAGTAATTGACTGAGTAGCTAATCTTCTTAACTGAAACCGATTGTTCATACACAGTAATGACACCAGCACTTATCAGAGCCGGCGTGAATTACTGATACCACACTTGTGTGCATTTAATCTGACGAGCAAATTAAACGAGCCACATAAATTCTGCATCAAATCTATCATTATTGCCTAGAAGCCGGCCTATCTTTATCTTTATGAACAGGTCCTTTAAACGCTGAGAACATGGCACATTATTTCATGGGATAAAGGCTTCAAAGCAGCAAGTATGAGAGCAGCAGCAGGGAAGATGTGGTATCATGAATTTTCTGCATTGTGATAACACACAAATCATTAGTGACGTTTACATTGCAGAGGACACTAATAACTCAGCTGCTGGTGGGTTATCAGAACATAATGCATGTTAATGTACAAAACAGGTATTTTTAGTACTTCTGTTGTAAGTATTTAGTAAAAATGCAGTGAAAATCCATCACCCACAGAAGTCTTGCTTTGATGAATTACAGTGTCTTTTACGCTGGCACAGAGTGACAAGTCCATTCCAGGGATTTCATTGCTAGACACAGCCAACACAACAAGCAGACATACTGAAAATGCTTTTTACTAGTTTGAGCTAGGGCTGCATGATACAGACAAATTACAAGTATTATGATTATACTGCTGCGTATTATGACATCTATGCACTGCAACACACTGACGATTCAATAATGTATTTTATGGTTTTCATGGAGATCTGCTTATGGCATTTGTGTGGGTTTAAAATAACAGTCTTGATTTAGACACCATTTCCAACCTCACTTCCAATCTCCCTTAGAATAACCCCTTAAATGGTCAGGACCCTCCAGCAGGTCCCAAGTTTTACTACACACTTCTATAAGCTCAGCCAGTTTGCACAGTAGTCCCTGTAGTTACTCAAAATAAGCCTTAGTATGTAATAAGCCTGAGATTTTAAGGGGTTAAAGAGGCTGTTTTTGTTACTGTGCCTTTAAGACTGATATGTACACTACTGTTCAAAATTTTGGAATCACCATTCAAGTTCTGTATCACTATTTCCATTTATATAAAATTTGTTGAAGATAACATCCATATGTCTCATATTTAAAGAGATATCTCTAAGAAATGACTATAAATAAATAATTACAGAACAATGTTTAACATTTAATGTCATCTTCATCATTTACATCTTAAAACATCTTCTTGTGTCTCATTTAAAGTACACTGTATAGCTTATTATTGAAACAATAGCAACAATTAATACAACAGATGTAAATGAACTCTGTTCTGATTGGCCACCTTCAATTGTGCCTCATTCAATAAATAATCTGGCCTGAAACACTCCTTATAACTTCAGTGTGAATGGGCAGGGCTAAACTGCTGTAGACATAATAGGTGGATACATGTAAATGCTGATACATGTGACTTTTGTGATGTCATTAAAACACTGAACTGAAAACAGGCTGTTTTTGCAGCTTAGTTTCCTTATATGGACTTTCTGGTGTGAGGAGTGAACAGTTTGGTACCTTTAATAATATTTACATACTACATCAAACTGTTTTCTTAAAAAAAAAAAAACAAGTAAAATTCAGTTTTCTGTGATATGGTCCCTTTAAAGACTTGCCTACATTACTCTGACAAAACAACATATGTACAGTAGATAGTAAAGAAAAACACTGTAGTTAGAGGTCTTATTTGCATATTGCAGAGTTCTGTGTTGTCAGTGTTGCAAAGGCCAATATCATAACAATGATGAACAAACAATACATTGTGCAGCCTCAGTCTGAGTGCTGGAAATCCCAGATGGAGTGAAAAGATAAAGGGCATTCAGAGCTGAGCATTACGCTGCGGAAGTAGCTGAAGCAGAGGCGTGGGCCAGAGCTGAGCTGTGGCTGGCTGATGTGATGGCTGCTCCGCGCTGACCTTACGCTGGCGCGCCTGAGCCTGATGGGAAGTGACAAAAGCCTGAATGTAGGAGAGGATGGTGGGGGAGCTTTACTGTGACAGCAGCACGAAGAAGGCCCTCGCTGGCCCAGACTGCCCTGGAATAGTGCTGCAAAATGTAGCTGAAGATTCAAAGCCTTTTCAGCTATACAACATGGTAAACAATTCAAACCTTTAAATTTCAAAACTCCCAATTCTTTATGTATGTAGGCTGACATTACCTTTACATTCTGTCCACAGACGAAACAAACTGCACATGATATCTGACTCGGATAGGTACACCCATTAGCATACTAATGCCAACCTTTGTTCATTTAATTTCCGGTAAAAAATGACCATTAAGTACAAGTGATTAAGGAAAAAAGCAGAAAACCTATACTTGACAGAAATTCACACAGAAGATTCAAAAATTGAATATAATTTTTGTCTTTCGGTATTTACTGTGTCCACCCTTTGCCTTTATTACAAGTTCCATTCTTTTTGGGAGACTTTCAGTTTTTCAAAGAGATATTTCAACACCTCCAAAGGTAAGTCTTGTTTGCATTTTCTGCTTCTAACAATCCAAGCAAATGTAACCCCCTTAATGGTCCAACAGCAGGCCCCAAAGTTTTATTACACACCTCTTTAACCTAAGAATAGCTTAGCCAGTTTGCACTGAAGTCCCTGTAGTTACTGAATAATAAGCCTTAGTATCTAATAAGCTTGGGATTTTAAGGGGTTAACATTCGCCTGTCTCTCAATGATGAAAGCTTCATCTGATTTTTGGTTGTTAACCAAGTCCTGCACAATTGTTAGGATTCCCACTTCCACTATAATTATTAATGATGTTTTAAATGCTGTTTTGACTGGAAATTAAATAAATGAAGAGTGACTCAGTGGCATGGACAGCACTGCAAAAAATAAAGGTAGCATGTGCACCTAGAACTAGACATAGGGTGTAACCCATTCTGAATTTGTTTTAAACACAGTGTTATGCCTATATCATCTCACTGTTAATCCCTTCAGAACATGCTGAATAATGCCTTGTTTAAAGTATTAAGTATTTGATGTATTTAACAATTGAAGAGTTGTGTTTTAAAAAATGGACTGAATTCAAAAATTGAATTGAAACACTGACATCTTTTAAATCCCAGACATACTACATTGTAATACTTATTACTCAATCACTATATAAACCAGACTGGCTGAGTTATTCTTAGGAAGTGCATAATAAAGGTTTGAACCCCGTTGGAGCCCTTAAATGGTTCTGGGCATTTAAGGGTCTAATTCAGCTGTGACATTTTGAATGTTTTTCTGCGTTCAATCCAAAAAAACACTGGTTGCTGTAGACAATGACTATTAAGCATTGAGACTTCACTTGGTATAGGTATCAAAGTCAAAATAATGGTATTGTGCAAACTCCGCTCTGTATTTCTCTTGGTGGCACTAACACAACCCACCATTTTCTCTCTCTCTCCTTCGGGCCAAAGCCTAGATCGCATAAGCATGAGCCATACCAGCAGCCTCTTTCCAAACAAACCATGACAGACCTAGCCTGCTCTACTGAGAGATCTAAATTAGGGCAACCGCAGAAACACGCACAGATGAAAACACATTTGCACGATGCGGGCGCATGTCAGTGCGAACTCACATAATAACCATGCATTCGCACGCTTGTGCTCGTGAAACACACGCTGAGATGAAGAGAGTGCATGTCCTTTTTTACAGGGGCACGGGTGCACACACACACACACACACACACACACACACACACACATTATACAGTGTCATTGTGAGTGAATGCACTTAGCCTGTTATTTGTGTCAGTAGAGAGCCTGGGGATAGATCTCTCAGAGAGACACAAGCACTGGCTGGACACAGCCCAGGAAGTGCCCTCTCACAATGCAGGCCATACACTGTACCATTCTTCTCAGGTAGTATCTATTCTTCTTATTATGCACTTTAGTTATATATCACTCACACTGCTGTCCATTACTGAATTCCAACAACAGCTCAGGTCAAACCAACCAACCCCCCCACCACAACGCTGCCTCTTCAACCCTTTCCACAACAACACCTCCCCCTCTTCCTGCGCCTAATTAAGCAGCTCGAATGAAAGCGGCTGGTAAGCCAGACTCCAGGCTGGACTCACAGGCATTGGTCACGGCGAAGCTGTTGGCCGTCTCGATGTTGTCCACGTGGGGCACCAGGTTAAAGGGTGCCTCCGACGCATTGGGGCTCGTGTTGTGCAGAAATATGGCCAAGCGAAAGGCAGTGTACTCCTGATCTGTGTTTCTGATAAACAGTCCGCCTGCAGGAGAGAGAGAGACAGAGAGTAGGATATTACACTCTGCACCCAATAATAAGCCAGTTGCTTAATTATGTCCCTTACAAAGACAAGGAAGAGGACAAAATCATGGACACCCAAAATGCAAACAGCCTTGAATCACTGGAAACAGAGAAGCAGAGATGAAGAGAGGGATGGAGAAAGAGAATGAGAAAGAGAAATGGATAGTATACTCTGCACCAAAAATGAGGACAATGTCTTGATTAAATCCTTTACCAAGATGAGAAAAAGGACAAAATAATGTAAACTCAAAATACAAACAGCATCGAAACATGTGAGGCACCCGAAAAATGTTGCAGAGATGGAAAGAGGGATGGAGAGAGGGATGGAGAGAGAAAATGAGAAATGTATATTATATTTTGCACCAAAAAAGAGGACAGTTGCTTGATTATGTCCTTTACTAAGATGAGAAAAAGGACAAAATAACAGAAAACTAATGCAAACAGCATCAAAACACTTGAAACGTGTGACAAATATTACAGAGATGGAGAGATAGATGGAGAGAGATGATATTACTCTGCACCTATAAGAGGACAGTTGTTTGTGTCCTTTGCAATGATGAGGAAGAGGACAAAGTGATGGACATACATACAAAATATTACTATAACACTCAAGCCCTGAAAACGCTGCAGAAATGGACAGAAAAAAAGGTATTATACTCTGCACTATATAAAAGGGCAGTTGTTAGATTATGTCCAAGGCTAGGAAAAGGGAAAAGGACAAAATATCAGAAACTGAAGATGGAAACACCTGAAAAAAGAGAGGGATATTACACTCTGCACCACAGAAAAGGGCAGTTCCATAATTGTAGACGACGTCCTTTACCAAGATGAGGAAAGGACAAAATAATGGAAACCCAAACGTAGCACTCATTTGGGAAAAAAACAAAGCTGTCCCAAATGAGGAACGTACACATTCTACTGAGATGCTCTTAAGCACCCAGCATCATGCATAGCTAATCGGGCCCCAAACTGAAACAGTACGACCCCCTGTTTGGAACCTGCACATTGAGTTTTGCCCACCAAGGGCGATCCGCTGACCCCAATGTAATTACAGTCAAATGTGACACATTCCGGGGGCCAGAAAAAGTGGGCAGCTCGCGCCCCACGGCGTGATGCAGCAGCGGCATTAATTAAAAGCACTTTGGAGAGACGAGGAAGCGCGCGCCGCGCACTGATACGCGTTTAAAGCCACATAAACTCAATGCCTGCTAAAATCAAGCGAATAAAACACGCCCGCCCTAAACTTTCAATGTCTCCGTGTTCTCGTCTTGCTCCATCCAAGCAGAGAGAGAGAGAGAGAGAGAGAGAGAGAGAGAGAGAGAGAGCATCCCGGAGAGTGCCGTAGGGACCCACTGCAGTGGCGCTGTCACGGTGCGCTTCAGTAAACCAGCCACAGCGTTCATCCCCCCTCAAAAAACACCACCAGTCTTAGCAAACGCACTTTAATATGCTACAAACACAGTTTTCTCGGAACATGCTGCGTCCTTCCGCAACAATTTTGCGACCCGAAGCCCTTAACGCACGGGTTCATTCAAGCATCCACGTCCTACACTTTGTCAAGCGAGGAAAGAAACACGAGGCAGCGGAAGAATAAAACGCCCAAACCTTTCATTTGTTTCTTTCGCGGCTCGCTGAAGCAGCGCAGCCCCGTTTACTCACCGATCTGAACGCTGCTCGGAAAGGCGCCCATAGTGAGACCCCAAACGCAAGAGAAGACCAGCAGAAGACGACGACAAGAAATCCTCATTTTTGTTGGGTTAAAAACTATTGCGAGACATTGAGCATGACGTCAGGTGGGAGAAAGGACAAGAAAGGAGAAGCGATGTTAGCAATCCATTTTTGTTACTGGGTTTTTTTTTGGCCCCCGCAGTGGCGCGAAACCCTGGTGCAACTCCGTTCGCCAGTACGCGCTCCACATGCAGGATGGGGGGAGGAAGCTGCGCACAGGCGCTGGGGGCTTTTTTCCCCGCCTGTATTCCGACAAACCACGCCCCCTGCGCTGGGTAGGGGTGCCTCACCGCCTGAACCAGGACTGAACAGAAGTGTCTGTATGTCAGAGCTAGAACCGAATAGACATATTTGCCTTCCTGAGCTAGAACTTCATAGAACTATTTGTCTTCCTGAGCTAGAACTGAATAGACATGTTTGTCTTCCTGAGCTAGAACTGAATAGAAATATTAGCCTTCTTGAACTAGAACTGAACATAAATATTAGTCTTTCTGAGATAGAACTGAAATGTCTGTTTTCCTCAGTTAAAATTGGGTAGAAATATCTGATTTTCTGCATTAGGATTGGAAGGTAGTATCTCGTCTCCTGCACTACGATTGGTTGGTAGTATTCTGCTTCCTGGGCTGGGATTGGCTAGAAAGAGGACTGCTTGTGAGTATAAACTACTTGCCAATCCTCCACGCGGGGGGCGGGGCTTGTCGCAATACGGGTGGGTAAAAAATATTAATAGTAACGCATGAGCCCCAAACGTCACACTTGACCCTTTCAGCCATCAGAGCTGGCTGCGCTGTTCATCTGCATTGTTTTAGTAACGGAAATGATGATGTACAGCGAAACAGCATTACAGCTACGACAAGCGTCCAAAGTCACGTGACGGTGCTCGCTGTTGAACTGTCCCAGTCACAGTGGCGTTTAAGGCAGAGAGCAATGTAACACAACTGTAACAACACTGACACTCTGGGTTGCCACTGCTATTCTAACCAAGTCTACAGCTCCTGTGAAAAGACAGACGCAAACCAAAGACCAAAGAGACAAAGCAAGACAAAAGTTAAAATGGTCGGCAAACTGACATTCTTTCTACAGCCTACTCAATATTCAGAGAGAGCAAAATCCCTAGTGCTGAATTAACATCTACAGTCTTAATTTGAGCCCAGCTGAACACTGCTGGTGTTAATTAGAGGCTGCAGGTGTTAATTAGACACTGCAGGTGTTAATTCAACGTTGGTGATTTTGTTGAGAATAGATTTCTCTTTCCTTATTCTGACCTTTGTTTAGAAAAGCTCAAACCAGTTTCAAACCTAGATGTGCGTACAGGGGAATTCCTCCAAATTTTCAAAAATTCTGCATAGTTCAGAGTGGTGTGAAGGGGAATGTGTCATTCTAGAGAAACTTGCCTTGTTTGAATTGTTCACAGTGGTGGTGATAGGAACCACACATCTTAAGTGTTTCCCCTTCAAGACACCAAATAGAAAGTTACCACAGAATGGCAGAGAGCTAACTGCAGGGTGTAGTAAGGCAAAACAGAACACAAAGAAAATGTGATTTTTTTTTATGTGCCACTATTTCACCAATATCAACATGACATAAAAACTCAAGATATGTGAAGGTTCACTGGTGGTTTTGATTAAAAGATAAAATGGCTATATTTTGTGTTGCAGACATCTCAACCTCTGGTTCCTATCACTGCCATTGTAAAGAAATCCAAGTTAGCAAGTATCTCTACAATGCACCATTTCACATGAAACTACTCTGAATGGCTTTGTTTACATCACAACCATAGAATTATGCAGAAACTTTGAAAAAACGACGGAGGTTTCCTTTAAAGCGGAGCAGGTGTAATCAGTGCCGCTGTCCGTGGTGCTGAAAGCCTGGCACAACCCTGTTATCTACAGCCGCTGCTTCTGAATTTACATAAACGCTGCCATGTTTTGTGACAAACAAGTATAGACCACAGAAAGAGAATCGTAAACAATTTGTCCTTTTACTTCACATGAGTAAGGACAATATCTAAAAAGATTTTCTAAGGTTGTCATCACACGCATTTCCTCTGCATTTTCTTACCCACATTGTTCTTATGCCTTGGCTTGGAATGAATTGTGTTAAAGCTGCTTAAAGTTATAGATAAGGATGATTAATTTTTCAGGTGACTACATCAGTATCTCTGCCTTTTTCATAAACTCAGATACTGTTTCTCAGCAACTTGCTTGTCTTATCTGCTGCAGAATGGGTCATGGATGAAGGTCAATATAAATTACTCAGGCAGCAGGAAAACAGTTCTCTCTCTCTCTCTCTCTCTCTCTCACTCTCTTTCTTTTTAGCAAAAATGCTGACTGACAAAGTGTCAAACATTTAATCAAGTAGAGACTGCAAGTTGTATTAAAGCATTTAATAGGTGAAGTCTACACTCATAAGGAGATGATCATTTTAAACGGCCCATATCACAGAAAAACAAATGTTCTTTGCATTCTTAAATAAAACAGTTTGATTCATTCATTGTAACAGTTACAAAATGTAGCGTTTGTCTCCATGTTCCATTCAGCCCATGCACGGAAACTGAGCTGCAGCTTGTTTTAAATTTATTAGGTTTGTGACATGCACTTACAGACAGTACTATGCAAAAGTCTTAGGCACGTAAACCAGTTGTTTAAAACCATCTTGGCAGTAAGTGTAATTTTTGCCAGTAAAAACTGTATATAACTTTGGAATATATACAAATAAACATTAATTTCAATAAAAAGCAACAAGACTTAGTAGTTGATATCTTGTGAAAACAGGTTAGGTTCTAACTTTTCATACGGCCCTCAGATACAGCATGGATTTGTTAAATTCCATCACCAGAACATCTAATTTAATTTAATGAAGCATTGATCAGCTATGATGACAACAAATAATACTGGACTTCTATAAAGAGAGGTTGGGAAGTGGTTAAGCTAACACTCTGACGTACATAAAATCATGGCCCTATCTAGCAGGAGGACGCTGAGGTCCAGAACTGAGTAGTTTCAGAAGGTTTTAATTCATGTAATCTTTCAATATGTGGGAACAGAGATGTCCTGATAATGCTGTAGCCTACTGTGCAGAAAAGCTTCCATTCCCAGAGTGTCCAGTCAGCAGTGACACAACTGGCTCTCAGCTGACCTCAGAACAGCTGTGGTTTGCCAACAGACTTATCGCCCACCATGTTTACCTTTGAACGTGACCTTATGAGTGACTGTGACTTCTTGATATGCAACACACATACTAATGGCATCGCACAGCTATACTATATATACCTAATATATCAGTGGCATAGTATCATATAAAGTAAGATCAGTAATAGTTTATGGCAGAATAGAGGAATATGTATATATATATATATATATATATATGTATATAAATATGCACACTACTGTATATCCACCAATTCAGCCTACAGCAGCTGAAATTATAAGGTGTGTCTCTGCCTGGACTGCTTTTTGAACACACACAATACGGATCAGCCAATCAGAACAGACCTCATTTACATATATATCAGTTTTAAAGGCACAGTAACAAATACAGCCTAAGGAATACAGAGCGGCTGGAAAATGGTCATGTAAAAATGAGTTGACTGTTTTTGTTACATAAACCCAATTAAAATACAAAAAAAGGTCAAATATATCCCCTTTAACACTTCAGCGGCCCATTCTGCGCTTCGACCTGGTTATTCACTTATTATTCTTTTATGCATAAATTTCAAGTTTTATACATTATGCAATGTCTCTGTGTTGCCATGTGTCTTAATTCCGTTTGATCTCTGTGTTCCTCGACGCTAGCTGGTTTATGTATGAAAGCCATGCTGCATCTGAGACGAGAAACAAAACAACTGATAAATTATGAATCCTTGTTTTTGAGGACTTACATCTGCCAGTGATCCTAAACTCAGAGCATTCAGATTTCCTGTCCTCAGAAAATGAAATACCAAATGATGAGGGGAGTTTGGAGCAGGAAAGCAGTTCACAGTCTATCCCTTCTGCAGTGAGATGTTACCAGGTTAGATTCTCTTCCTGTTTCACTGACAAGTGTAAAGCACAGAGAAATGCAGAATAAATGCACTGAAAAGGGTTTTTAAATAAAAAAAAGTACTTTCTTAATATCTTTACTGTTCATCCTCTTGACAAGGTTTGTTACTGGGATGTCTGTACTGCCTAAGGCTGTTAGCTAGCTCAATCTTTGAAGAAAAGTCTACTATCTAGCTTCTAAAATGCTACAAAGTTCTCATCCTCAAAAGTAATGGCACCCCATTTAAAGCATTGTAAGATGCTAATGGCTAATACACTTATCATTGCAGATCAAAGCAAACAGGCCAACAGAAATGGTCCAAAATTACAAGAAGAAAACAAGTCTTGCTACATTAACATACACTACCATTTCTATTGCTCTATCAATTTATGCAAATAGTAAAAATGACAAAAGTGGAACTACAATGTTTTTGCATGAGAGTCACAATATACAGTTTATTTTTGTAATGTATGTTTTGGTGTAGAGAGGCAGTGTTATAGTTCTAGTGTTTTAATAAGAAATTTTGTGAAAAGAACACACGTGGCACCTCAGAAATAATGAAAAATGGCACATTAACAGAATTACACTGATATTTCAACATTTCTGCATAATTTAGTTGAAATCTGATTAAAGTTGTTGTGGTTTAATGTGAAATGGTGCATTGTAGTAAAACTTGCTGACTCAGATTTTTTTTTACAGTGGTGGTGATAGGAATCAGGGGTCATGATGTCTACAACAAAAATATAGCTATTTCACTTACTACTCAAAATGCCAATGAATCTACAGGTCTTCTAAGTTTTTAGAAGTAATGTTGCAAAACAGCCGTAAATTTGGAAAAATCCCTGCACATACCCCTCCGCCATGAACGGGTTTGAATAAATCCATTTGAAACCATTTTAAGTCAAAACTACTGTAAAATAATGTCTCACGCATCAGACAGTGTATTCACAACTATTTCATGTAATAACTTTTGGTGATGTAGCTTTAAGAGGCATTAAATGATTGAATGTCTGGTTCCTATCACCACCACTGTGAAAAATTGTGACTCTGTAAGTTTCTCTAGAACAACATTTTACTCTGAATCATTTCTTTTTACATTTTAAGAAATCAACAATACAGAAATTTTGATGCATCAGTGGAATTCCCCT